GAGAGTTAGTCTGCACATTCCATCAACACCCTTCCAGTTACACCATCAGGACCAGAAGCTTTTCTCGGGTTTACCACCCTGAGCATGCGCCTCATCTCATGTTCCTGCACTCTGAGGGTGCGGTTATTGGAGGCTGGTGAGTGTGGTGTGACTGCCTAAGGTTCTTTCACATCAAAGCTGGCAAAGAAGCAAATAAGTTCCTTGGCCAGCAAGGAATTCCCCTCGACAGCTGTGAGGTTACTGGACTTGGTGATAAGCTAGAGGCCCTGTCACTCCCGCTGTCACTGTGGATGTGGTTTTCAATCTTCCTCTTATATGCTGATTTGACTTTTCTGATATTCTGGGGGGCAGGAGGTGTAGCAGGTTTCCCTTAAACCGTGGAAAGGGAAGGGGTGCCGGTCGGGGGAACATATGATGCCAATGCAGCCAGCAGCCTGCGTCTGCTGAGGTGTGGCATGAGTAAATGGTGTCCTGTAGGTGTGTTCTGGGCATACAGCAACTCTGGATGTAACGGACTGTTTTGCCAGGTCCCTTGAAGTCCGTTATAACGGTATGTTACTGTAAAATAAAAGCGTATGCATATTATAAAGGTCAAAAATGAAATGCAATGACTGAAATTGGGGAAAAAAAATCCGTTAAAATGATATGAACAGGAAGATATTTTTATATTTTGTTTAGTCACTGTCTACTGACAGTTTATTACTATAATAGAATAGACAAGATATGATTATTTGTACAGTACATTTCACACGGATGTGATTGAAAGTATTTTATGGAATTCAAATAATGTTATACAATAATAATGACATGTGAACTCAACCCAGATGGTTCCCCGTTAGCTATGGGGATTGAACCAGCAACTTTCACGTTAAAAGGCGACAGCATAAACCACTGTACCACCGTGCCACTGTGCGAAGCACTTGTAACATTAACGTAACTTACGCATTTAGTTTGTCTGCAATTCTTTGCCAAGCCAACTCCCTGGCTTTATTTATGGCCACAGTATTGCCTTTTTTAACGATTATATCTTTATATTTTTCATACAGCTCCATCAGCAGCGTTTGTTCTGCAGCGGAAAGAAACCCCGCTCTTGTTTTACACGCTTTCCGACTCATTTGATCGATCTATCTTTCATCGATTCATTTGGGCCTCTTAAATATCGCGGGTGCGCACTAAGTGAGACTATGCAAGTCTGTCTTGTATGAGCCTTGATTAGTTAAAGCTGAACTGCGTTAGTGGAACGACTTGAGGCTAAGTTTGTCAGGGATCCGGCCGGCTCGGGACCGGGAACGAGGCATGGTGCACAAAAAGGGCGGACGACCCACTTGCGGCTCCAGGAACAGAAAAGGGGTTTATTAAATAAAACAGAAAAAAACTACAAAACCAAAAAGGACCACGAGGGGTCAAAAACTAAAAAGGGATTAATTAACAAAAACCAGATACACATCTACAATCAACTATGAAACACAAACCAATAACAACACACTCATAGACAATCATAGACAATGAACCACTGGGGAACTGAACAGAAGCAGGAACTAAAATACTAAAGGGGTAACGAGACTAACACAGGACAGGTGAGGCTAATTAACAAAGACCAGGGAAACAGGGCACAGGTGAAACTAATAAACTCAAAAGGAACTAAAAAACAGGGAAACTAAGAACTAACCAAGGAAACATAAACCAACACTAGGGAACTAAACAGGTAAAGACACAAGCAGGGGCACAAGGAACAAAACCAAAACCAACTACAAAATCAGACACAAGAACTAACAAAACTCAAATGAAACACTAGGGAGCAAAATACAAAAACAGAGGAGGCGGGATTCTAACACAGGACAGAAGGATACACAGACAACCACATGCTCAACACATTGAGCCACATGACCAGACAGGTAACAGGGGAGAACAAAGACTAACACAAAGAACGGGATGACCAGCGACACCTGCTGGTCAAACGGGGAAGGGACACGGAAGGACCACAGCAGGGGCTGACCCTGACAGTACCCCCCACCTAACGCGCGGACACCGGACGCGTGCAAGGGCACTGCCAGAGCCACAGAGAATGGGCAGACAGGACAAGGACGTAGAACAAGACAGGGAACCCACTAACGAAAACCAAGGAACTGGACAGACAGAATCAAGAACTCAGACAAGAGGGGAACAAAAACAGACAGAGCAGACACCAGGAGCTGGGACAAGAACACTAGATGAGGGAACACAGCAGGGGGCAGAACTTGGGGACCAGGAACAAACGGACACGGACACTGAGGAACAGGGGCACGAGGCAGAAAACAAAATGATGTAGGGGAACCAGAAGGGAAAGGAACAAAGGGAGCAGGGCGAGGAAAAGGACCAGGGACATGAGACTGAAATGGGGCAGATGAACTGAAAGGGAAGGGCAGAAATGGGACTTGTTGGGGCAGCTGGCGAGGAAACTGAAAAGGGAAAGGATGGGTAGGATGTGGGCCTGGTGGCCGCCTGGAGGGCGAGGAGGAAGGGAATGCAGGATGGGGACAGGAACTGGAGGGTGACGGCGAGGAAGGGACTGCAGGACGAGGACAGGAAATGGAAGGTGACAAAGGAGGGAGTGAAGGACTGGAGGATGAGGTGGTGACTGCAGGACTGGAACTGGGGAGCGATGAGGAGGGAACAGAACCGGAACTGGAGGGTGATGAGGAGGTGGCTGCAGGACTAGGGCCTACTGGACAGGGACCTGGGTCGGGGCAGTTGGACCGCCTGGTGTGTCCCCGTCTCCCCTTTCGGGAGACAGAGAACCGGCCTGGCCCTCTGCTGGACCTCCACCAG